TTAAACCAATCTATGAACTGTCTGAAAAAATAGCCCACGCAAACACGTCACTCCCCTTGGGGCTAAGCCCCCCCTTTCTTTGAATCCTAGAAACGCCCCTGGGCTGACTTATCCTACCGTAGCTCTTTCTTAATCACGGGTGCGCTTCCAGCCTCTCCTCCGTGGTTCTTCGTCTCCTCCTTGTCCCGCCCCCTCCACTCTCCCCATTCGCCAGCGCACCAACTTTCCAGTCACTGATTGGCTGGACCTGTGGCCAAGTTCTGTGGTGCTATTGGGTGTGGATCTTAGGATTGATGTCCCAATGTAACCACAGGGGCTGCATATAAATAAATATTTCCACACTCTGGGTGTACCCCTATGTTAAGCTAACTGGTTGCATACTGCAAAAACATACTATCTATCTTCAAATCTAATTCTTGGCAAGAAACTTTCAAAATGTATAATTCATTCCTTTTAAGAAATTCTGCAAAATAAACTAGAATGAAGCAGCTTTGAGAAAGTTGCAGCGGACAAACAAAGCTTAGAGTGGGCCAGAAGGAGAGACATTTATGTGTAATCTGAATGAGATGGGGTTCCACTGCAGGCAGGAAAAAATAACTAAACAGAATCAGCGACTTGGACACCTCGGCTCCTGAGCAGAGGGGGAAGAAAGCCCACATGGCGAAGCCTAACCACGTCGACTGCTCCAACAACCCAATCAGCCCCAGTCTACAAAACCACCAGCACTGCAGGCCAAACCTCAGACTGGAAGCTTGGAAGGCAAAGCAGTGTGACTGCATTTCCTGAGTCCACCCCATTTAAACTCACAATATGGAACATATTAGGAGCCCAGTAGAAAAAAAGGGGGCAACGTTCCTTGGTCTTCTCTTTTACAGCCCCTCGGAAAAAAAAGAAACATCAGATTTCTAAAAGGACAAACTGGGCCTGTGGAAAAAAGTTGTTCTTGACAAGATCAATGAGCATGACATACTTTAATATATAGGATTACTTCTCAAAACATGTGAGACTTGTGTATTTTGTATTACTTAGCAGAATGTGTAAAACTTATTTATGATCGTTTTTCTCAAAGAGTCACTTCAAAGAATAATAAAACTGCACAACCAACACCTCTGAAGCACACCGCCTTCATGAGCTATTGTCTCACCGTTTAGATACAAGGATTCGAAAGGACTTGATTACAGCGGATAAGGCAACTTCATCAAAGGAATGTAAATATTATAGATACTACTTTTGTTTGAAGAATTGAGCAGGAGTGATGTGTGTGTGCATTTACAAGAGATGTCTCTGCTAAGTCAGGGTGAGTGAAGCTACATGAACCTATAATAAAAGAGATTTTTTTTCTTTTTAATATAGAAACGCTAATTTGGAAATCCAAATAAGTTTTTAAAGATATACTCAATTTCATTGGATACAACAATGATGACCTGTGCTCTCATGACTTTTAGTTGAACAAAGGAAGGCTGCAATAGGCTGTTGATAAATGCTGTTTATAGTGTGTGTGTGTGTGTGTGTGTGTGTGTGTGTGTGTGTGTGTGTGTGTGTGTGTGTGTGTGTGTGTGTGTGTGTGTGTGTGTGTGTGTGTGTTTGTGCTCTCACACTGTGGCATTATTTTAAACTCTGTGGAAACTCACTAAAATAAATTATTTTCGTACGTCAGAGAGGCCCCTGTGCACCCTGTAATTATTGAAGAGATGGTGGGAGAGCACCAGGAGGTGGAGCATCAGCACCAGGCTGCTTTTGGCCGCTGACAAACCACCTAAATGCTTACTCAGTGGTCGCTCTTAGGCTCAGTTACAGGCACGCAGCACAGTAGCACAATCATAGCTTGTCTTCGGGGAGACAAGTAACTTACGAAGCAAGACGATTAAAAGTTGCAAACAAAACAAAAGAAAAAGTCTCCCTTTCCCTGCCCGCTGTGGTGTGCCGGCCCATAATCCCCTCTGAGAGCGTGGATCCCCCCGTGCACTGGCAAGTGTCGGCAGGCCCAGTAAGTGGCAAGCATGGCAGCTGCAAGGAGCCGTAATTAACACCCTTACCAGAGGCGAGAAGACTTCCGTAGGCCAATGTTCATAAGAGAGAGAGAGAGAGAGAGAGAGTGGGGGGGAAGGAAGTGTATCTCCTTCTTTCAAAAGATGCTATTACCCCATGTTTTTTTTCTGGGGCCAGACGGTCATCAATTGGAGTGAATAGTAGCGAGCTGCTGTAGGTGCACATATTTATGGCATATAGGACCCCCCAGGACAACTCTAAAATACTGACTTTAGTGTCTGTTTTAACTTTACGGTATCATATGAGCCAACACGAAAACTGGAAGCTCTTTTGGTTGAAAGTATCACATTATTACTCACACATTGAACCAAGGGATGCTTTTGGAGGCGTCCTCACATTTTGTTTTAAGGGAACAGACAAGTTTAGCAACTAGATTAAAATGATCAGAGGGACCTCGATCCTTTGTGACCGACTGTGAACACGGAGGACCTGGCTTTAGGAGAGGATTAAAGACAATAATCTAGAGTCAGAGGAATGTACTGAGGCTTTGGCAGGACAGTGGCCATAATAACAGGGTTTGAAAACTCAACGCTTCAAAAAGCAGTTGTCCACATACAAAGCTTGGAGGGACTCATCTGTGCACAGAAACACAAATGCAGATACAGCCAGATGTAGCATTTGTGTATCCTTTAAAGAGCCTGCTTCGTGTTTGTGTCATTGTGAAAATAGCTACTATGTTGTTTTCTAGCTAACAGACGTTTCTAATTAATGCATTGTTGCAACTACACCGCGGTAACTCAAAGAGGGAAAAAAACAAGAAATCACAGTCTTCTCCAGACTCCAAATCAGAGACTTCTATCAGGCAGCAGCCTGATGATCAATGCAATTCCTGACATAACGTGGCACCCTAAGATGCTAACATAGCTTTTCCTTTCTCTCCTTCAGTTTGCTCAAAGTCAAAGTCCTCCTGCCACAACTATTCCTGCTCTGGAGCAGAGCGGGCGCCTCTCAAGAGATGCTGCCTCAGTGGATGTAGACGTGTGCTGTTGCCCGGCCCCTCCCCAGCCCTGTCTAATTAGGCCACCTAAAATACCCACTGCGGTGGCTTGTGTAATCTGCCCATTATGTGTCTTCGCTCCTCGCCACCCCATAGAATTGTCTGCCAGTTCCTCTCCAGTGGTGATGTCAGCAGGCCTGGAGGAGCTGCCTTAGCCTTTATGGAGGCGAAGGACGAAGACGCTGCTCTCAGGAAATCACAACATGTGACAACCCGTCACAAAAAAATCCCCACTCTTGTGCTGCTGAAAGTATTCCTATTCCTATAAAACTTCAGAAAAAGCTCATCCGGCAGATTTGATTCACTTTAAAAAACCTGTTTCCTTGTAACTGCACAGTTCAGCATTACATCTGAGTGTTACTGAATGCCTCTATTGCTGAATGTTGGCAGAGAACTCTGCACCCAACACCTCCCCCCCCATCACTGCCACCACCGCCAATCTGACAACCCTACACCAAAAATTATGAAAGAAGCCATCAAAACCACATCCACCTCGGCTGAAGTATTTAAGATTCCAGTAGGCTTGTAAAACTTCTTGGTTTCTCTGTATACATTCCAGTATCAGTGTAGCGGTTTCCAGGGTGCCCACTGTCCACAACTGCAGCATCTCTCCTGGGTCCTTACTACAGGGGTCCTTGGGACCTCGAGGACATGTGGATCAGTGGAGTTTGCTTTGTCTTGAAATCTAGCTAGGCACATAGTTTCGGAGATGCTTTTTAATATTACTCTTTTCAATTACTGTTCTGAATAAACTGTGAAATGATTGCTATAATCATTTTCTGCTTGGCAAAGTATAGTACAAGTTCTCCTAAGATGTGATCTGGTCCCAGGCTGATCCTGGGTGTTAACTTAAAATGGCACACAAGGACACGTACCTTATTTCAGTAAAATACAACACTATATAATACTACATGACGGTATACTAAGAAATGTAATGGTTGGCATTTTAAGCAAAAAAAGCATACTGGTGACCTCAAGATATCAATAAACTTGTTAAAACATCCTGAAAATAAAACAGAGAGGAGTATTAACATTTGTTACCAAGAAGACCAAAGAGCTAATTGTGGACTTTCGGAAGAAAACTGGCACACACATCCCCATCCATATCAACGGGACGGAGGTTGAGCGTGTCGCCAGCTTCAAGTTCCTGGGTGTCCACATCTCTGAGGACCTCTCTTGGACCCTCAACACCTCATCCCTGGTAAAGAAAGAATACCAGCGTCTCTTCTTCCTGAGGAGACTGAAGAAGGCCCATCTGTCTCCTCAGATTCTAGAGAATTTTTACCGCTGTACTATAGAGAGCCTCCTTACAAACTGCATCTCAGTATGGTATGGCAGCTGCTCTGTCGCGGACCGTAAATCACTGCAGAGGGTGGTGAAAACTGCCCAACGCATCACCGGTTCCTCACTCCCCACCATTGAGGCTGTCCAGAGCAAGAGATGTCTGCGGAGGGCGCGCAGCATCGAAAAGGACAGCTCTCACCCCAGCCACAGACTGTTTGCCCTCCTCCACTCTGGGAGGCGGTACAGGGTGCTCCGTTCCCGGCCCAGCAGGTTCAGGAACAGCTTCATCCCTGCGGCTGAACTCTGCCCCCCACTGAACTCTGAACTCTGCCCCCTACCCCCACACACACATCTCCCTCAGTGACTGTACTTCCCCCCTCCACCCTGGCTTGACTGCCACACCCTCCTCCAGCCACTGAACATTTGCACTGTTATTGTATATCCATTTCTTACAGTTCATTTTGCATAACTATTCTTACTGTACATATCTATTTATTCACTTATTACACTTTACATAAGCACATACTCTGCACTTTTTGCTATTTTGCACTTCTGGTTGGATGTTAAACTGCATTTCGTTGCCTCAGTACTTGTACCCTGTGCAATGACAATAAAGTTGAATCTAATCTAAAAAATCTAATCAAAGGACTAATGATACAGACCAATCAAATATGTTTATTATGCAAATTCTTTATTATCCATGTGTGAATGGTGTTAGCTTTTTGTCTGGATATTAAAAGTATATGAAAACTACACACCGGATCCAGGCTCATCCTACTTTGCTGTATAGTTTCTCAAGTTGAAAGATTCTTTATCTTTATTATGAGTAGATGAAATCCAGCGTTCCGATTGGTTGAGGGGTTATTATTATTATTGGACGATAATGTACAGTTGCTGTTCACATTGACCCAAGCATTTCATATCACTGTGCACTCAAAGTAACATGTTAGCTTTTGTGTGACCGTAAGTTGACACTTTAGCTTTTAGCTCGATGGCGATCACCGAAATAATTACTGGAAATCCCACGATGATTGAATTCGGGCAATGCTAGCTTTTGCAACCGGAAAATTAAGGTGGACGTCATGAGCGATGTGAATGAATGAGATGGTGCAAGACCCAATGCTGTTTATGTGCACGTTACGGTTAGATATTTTCTCTCTTAGACTACTGAAATGCGATACACAACGTTTGGTGGCTATAACTATTTTGTTTTATTTACTTACTAATTATAATTTCGCGGGTAACCATATTATATAAGCAATAAGGTACTTGAGGCAGTACTTTATCTTCAATAATGCAACTATTCGAGGGTTGCCTAACAACTCTCCCGAACTGTTACATTATTGGACGATAAAGTACGACCTCTCGTACCTTATTGCTTTAATATATTTATATGTATAATATACATGAGCCAAAGTGCATTTCCATTTGTTTCCTCTTGTCCATATACACATTGCACCATACATAAATAATTACATTGTAAAAATGACTCTGTATTTACAAGTATAATATATATTTCATATAATATATAAAACTTTATATTAAATCTAGGTAGATGATATTTGGGATTGTTTGTGGGGTCCGTCTGTGTTATCTATGGTTGTTGAGGAGGATCTCCAGCCAGCAGGGGCAGGAGGTGATGAACTGTCTCGAGTAGCAGGGGCCCCAGCCCTTAGCAAAGCTGATGCTCACACTGTTGGGGTCATAGGGTCCGTCCAAGAGGTCAACCTCCGTGGTGTGCCTCAGGAGGAAGGAGCGCTCATAGTCAAACACCTTGATGGAGTAGCCCGGCATAACCTTCCGCACCACCAGAGTTCTGCTGTTGGGCACGTCCAGGGTTGGGGAGTTAACAAATATGGGGTGCTCGCTGCGATTATACGCCCAAACACCGTCCGGCTCCTTGCTGAGCAGGATGCCATAGCCGATTTTGCCTCTCGAGCGCTGAACTGTGCTGCTGCGGTGCTCCAGGTTGAGCTGGCCCAGGCAAAAGCCCGTGCCCTGAGGTAGATCGTAGAAGATGCTGACGGAGTGCTCGTACACTGTGTAGAGGCGACCCACGCGCGTGCGGTGCTCCCAGTACGCCACGTTACACCAGTGGCTCTGCTTCGGGGCGTCAGGCGACATACTGGCATCTAGAAGAGACAAGGACAGTCTAAAAAAAAATAATCATAAACAAACGTAAACATGCCTAGTAAAAACCAAGGCTAAAGTTTTAGGGGATTAACTATCTCTTTTTATTGTTCGGAGCAGAAATGTACGGGCTGGATGAAGAATCAGTGTTTTACATGTCTGCTTTCTTTTTACAGTGGAACAAAGTTGGCAACTCATACCTTAATATCTCTTCCCAGTAAATCAGCTTGCTAGTTCAGTTTTCATGCTTGCAGTCCGTGAACTCTTTCCAGTGACAGCCCTCACCACTCCAAAGTGAGTTACTGCTGATGATCTCACATCAGTTCCGTCACCCTTCACTTCTCTAGAATGAGGATGCCTCTTTTCTCCTCTTTCCCCATCTTCCTCACATTCCACCAGAGCGGGGGGGAAGGAAGGGAGAAAGAGGGTGCCCCTTCCCCTGCGCCCCGCTCTTCACCGTGCTGTGGGCCCATGGATTCAGCTCCCTGACAACTTAAGCCTGATTTATGCTTCTGCGTTTTCAGAGCGACGCAGACGCATGCCCCCCTTGCGTGTCCCTTGCGTTGCTTTTCACACCTCCTTGTGTCCTTGCGTGTGTCGTCATTTTTCTAGGCTTTCAAGCAACGCAAGCCTCCCGCAGCGCACCAGGCTGCGATTGGTCTGCTAACTAACTCCTTTACGGAGTCTCACATTTCCGCTTTCATAGCCCGATACCGCCATTATTAAAACAAAGAAGGTTTACGATAGAACGGATCAGATTTAAGAACTTTTGTTGGAAGAAATGCGTAAATATGACCGCTTATACAAGCTGTCATTGGCAGGTTGTAGAAGCGGGTTGGATTCATGTAGGGAGATCGCCGCAAACGCCGGTTTGCCGGTCGAGAGGTGCACGAAGTTGTGGAGGGAAATACGGGACAAATGTGTCCGCGAGGAAAAGCAGCAGTGTTGATGCACGGGGCAATAAAGTCTATAATAAATAAATAAACAAATAAATAAATAAATAGACGTGACTCTCTAGGTCGTCTTCAACAAAAACACGTCACTCCGCCTGTTGTTCTGGCGGTGAATTGCTCTGCAACACACGCAGAACCATGAATTGAAACGAGTGCGTTGATGCAACGACGCAGACGCAAACGCAGAAGCAGAAGCATGCGCCGGCCATTAGCACAAGCCTGTGACCCGCTGACCCCCCCAGCCTTCATGCTATCAGCTCCTGAGTGTCTATTGGCACAGAGGGTTTAAAGCCTGGGGCCTCTTTCCTTTCAGTCTCTCCTCTCTTAGGGCTTAATGACCGCCCGCCCCATTAACAAACGCCTTTAAGGTGGAGCATCGGAGATCCACACAGCAACAAATGCCCAGCTCTCCTCCCACCTCGGACTGTTGTGTCCAAGCAGACACGTGTGTACAGGCGGACAGGGATGAAAATCGGCCAGCGTCTTTGTGGTTTTGTCCTGAACTTGTGTGTTTTGGCTAAAGCCTAATTTATGCTTCTGCGTTTTCAGTGAGACGCAAGGACACACAGACGCAAGAGCCCCTTGTGTGTCCCTTGCGGGCTTTTTCACACCTCCTTGTGTTACGTCAAAAGTTACGGAAGCCTCCTGCAGCGCACAAGGCTGTGATCAGGGACGTACTGGGACGGAGAGGCCTTTTACGCGAGTGCCCGAGCAGGATTAATAGTGTTTTTATGGTATAAAGACAACCAGATTACGCTGAAGACCTTCAAGAAACTTTAGGATAACACCTGCCTCCTCAGGTTGTATAAGAAAGTCACCACTGCACTGAATACAACCAGGTCAGCAAAACCTAATCTCAAACACATAAGTCACACGGTATACTGCTAACTACCATCATGTCATGTGTATAGTCAGTCGGAGTGTTAAAATAGTTACAAATACTCACACCCACTCATACTCAAAAACTACAATGCAGTCCCATACAATAGAGATTGTGTGTGTGTGTGTGTGTGTGTGTGTGTGTACTCACTTTCAACTCTCCCTGCCTCAGCTTCCCCTATGCTGGACCCTGCCTCTGCTTACTGATTGTACAGCTACATAACATATGCATGAGAAGAACATGAGTAACTAGAAAATGCATTTCCTGCTGAAAATGCGTTGGAATGCAAAAAGCGAAAGCTGAAATGAACTTCAGAAAACTGCTGAAATTACAGAGAGTTGAACGGAATTTGAATACATTTGCTGAAATTACAGATATTAGAAAAGTTGAAATTAATTTGAAATTATTCATGTGACTCCACTAATGAGGTAATAGGAGCAGCTGTGAGTCACAGACAAAGCGTGTGTGCGAGTAACCACGGCAACGGCGCACCTGGGCTCATTAACAAGCTGCTGCAAAGGGCAGACACAGGACAGCGAGTAAGTGTTCACCAGCGCAAAACTATAACAGCTATCTAAAAAATATGACGTTTATACGAGACCCAAGACTCTACCGAACGCATGGATGCATTTTTTATGTCTGTCCGGTAATAAATACGGCTCCTCTCGCAGTTTACAAAACGTCTACCTTCTGGATTTTTTGAGAAATATGTTGGCAGATTTGTATTGGAGCCTATGGGGCTTTTGGCAGATGTTGTGTCACTCTAACACTCAGGAATCCAAAACTAAAGAAGTCTGGGATTCCATGAACACATTAATCCAATCACCACAACCATGACATCATTAATCCAAAGAAATGAAGCCTCAAAAGTGTATACTTTGGCTGCAAGGACAGAAGTTTCATATTTTTTTAACCAGATTCTGACACTGCCCCACACTCTAGCCCTCGACGTCTCACTCTAGCAGACGCAATACTCACTCATGTAAAAGTCAGAAACGGAGCGAAGAACTAGGGAAACATAATCAGTGATTATGAAAAAGGTAGAATAGATGTCAACAAGCAGTTTTTTCCATAAAATAGTTGAGACTTGTGTCAACATTTGAGTTTAAATGGTGTCTGTAGCTGAAAGATTGGTGAAGCTGAAGAATCTGAAAGTTGAAGAAGAGGATTTAAAAACGATCTCCATTGGAAAACCATGTTAAAATATTAATGATTATTGATTTATATAAATTCAAGCATAAGAGGTAGAAAGCAGAAAAGTCATAGCTGGAAAGCCGGAAAGGAGCTGAATATTTTAATATTTGACCGGTTTTAATAGCCGAAAGTGTAAAGGAGTTGAAAGGTGCAACGTAAGAAATAGAAGAAGAAGAAGAAGGCGGAATAAAGATTCAAAGAACAATACTTATACACAATACATATGTACATTATATGTACACATATAACAATAAATATGTCAAAGAATAATACATTTTCTAATTCAATCTGTGCTTCAGTCAGGTTATTATCTAGTATGTGGAACTATTGCCATTTTATCCTATATGTAAATATGTAACATATGTAACATTGTGCTGTATTTTTCTATTTTTGTGTGCGTGTCCTTAATAAAGCTTTGATTGATTAATATGCCTAATATGATTGCCCACCCAGCCCTGCACACTGCCCCTCTACCAGTCTGTTTCCTGGATCCTGCTCTTCCTCTCTTCTCCTCCTGCTGCTGCTCCTCCTCCACTCTACTCCTGCTGCTGTTCCTCCTCCTCTCTCCTCCTGCTGCTCCTCTTCCTCTCTTCACCTCCTCTTCTCTCCTCCTGCTGCTCCTCCTCCTCTTCCTCTATTCTCCCCCTTCTCTCTCCTGCTGCTCCTCCTCCTCTGTCCTCCTGCTGCTCCTCTTCCTCTCTTCTCCTCCTTCTCTCTCCTGCTCCCTCCTCATCAATATGACTGAAGGGGTAATCATCAAACTGTCCCTCTCCATCTCTGACCTTAACAGCTAATATACATACATAGACTCCTTACAGACATTCTTTGCATATAGAGTTTATGTAGCCCCACCCCTTTTTCAGTGCTGCGTTGCCATGCAAAGCAGAGCGTTGCCATGGACACGCAGGATTCTAACCATAGAGACGGTGTGGTGAACAAATTAGTCCTACTGAAGAGATGAGTCCGAGCTTAGGACCCAAGCAATCGGATTGGTTCAAAGCACGTTTTATGTGTAATCGCTTTAGTGCCTGGTTACAAATCATACAAAATCAATTAATTATAGAAGACGTTTGTACTACGTTATAATGAGTCATTAATGTATTTTAACTTATACGTTTCAGAAACTAGTATTTAACCGAAGCTATAAATTGTGAAATTAAATATTTCTCATTTTTAGTGTGTTTTTTAGTTAGCTTAGATAGTAGCATAGCATACAAACTAACGTTATCCGATGATCGTGCTAGCGGAGCTTTATCTGAGCTTCTACTGCCCTGATACTGCCTTACCGTATTCACAGCAAATCGTAATGTAATTATAATTATGTCATTATTTTTTATCGTAATAATCAGCATATTTTGTGATATTTATCACGAAGGCCGGCGACAGACTGGATGCGTGGCATGTCCATTTTTATTTCAGCTCCCATGTTAACAGGTTAGAGCTGCGTGACACAGGGCGCAGGCCTGAGCCACGCGGAAAACGCGTGCATGCTAGAAATAGAACAGACGTGACACGCAAGCGTGTTGGAAGCGTTTCCAGGCAAAATAGAATAGGAAAAGATGTTTGTCATTTTGACACAAATAAATATTAATAAATTACATTTGGATGTTTGAGAGTCTCTAGGTTTTGACATACACACAGATATAAATGTAATTTAAACAAATATATCACCAGAGGCTTTTCATGACACAGCAGCGCCGCGTCTCACACGTTTCTGGTGTACAAAGACATGGAAAACGCCACGCAGCTGACACTCAACAGAAACGCCACGCTCACGCACAGGCAGCCAGCGTGTCGCCGCCACTCGCCGGCCTAATCGTGCACGTATCCTGTCCATGCTGCTGGGTCCTCCTTCCTCATCTGCACCTCCTGCCACAGCACCCTTTTCAGTGCAGAAAAGGTCCGTTAATTTGGCACATTTAGATGCCTCTTGTGCCAACATTTTTTTCTTTTTCATTCTTATTTTTCACCCATT